AATGTCGTACGAATGAATGTTGGTGCATTGCGGCCTCGTACTTTCTTCTGCACTAGTTTAAAAATTCCCTTCATTTCATGGGACCTAATGTTGTACAAATAACGTTTCGAGAGTGAAATTGCATATTTACTAAGTACTGTGGTTTTCATGATTGTTCTTACCCACTTTATTATCCCTCCCGGAATTGGGGAAGCCTTCGCGCTGGCGAAGATACTTTTATTTTATTTTTACTAGTAGTCACAACAGCATTATAGTAGTCAGTAGAAGATGTGATATAGTAGTGTAACCCATAATTTTTGGTCTAACGATCGCATAAATCCCCCGGTGCAAAATGCATCTCTCAGCGTTCATATCGATTTTCGTTTCTTTCGTCGCCCTGCGCATAGGGGGCTTGCCCGGTGAAAGTATTTCGGAGATGGCCTCATCCAATTTTCTTTTATCGACCACTGAAATGGAGCCTAGCCTTTTTTTCCGCAAGTTATTTTCGTGTCCCAGCTGTGCTGCTCGAGAACGGCACGTGCTGAAAGCGTGCTTTTCGTATAGAATCTTTTTTCATTTTTTCTTCTGTCGCTAATTAATCTATTTTGGAGAACGAGATGCCGGCCGTAAAAGGAGATGGGATGCGTGGATTGGCCGTATTCATATCGGATATCAGAAATTGTAAAAGTAAAGAAGCTGAGATGAAACGGATAAATAAAGAACTCGCCAATATAAGGTCAAAGTTCAAAGGTGAGTGACCCAGACTGCTCATTCATTTTCCTTTATTCCCGATCAAGTGCGAAGGTACTTTTTGGGAAAAATGGTTATCACTCAGTTAACCTATAAGTTTCAAAGGAAACCATCATTATCAGTCATCTGTTTTCTTTTTCAACTGTTGAATGATCAGTAAGTATGAGAAAAAGGCGGCGCAAACGTAGTTAGGAGGGGGGGGGGGGTGGGGGACCACTCGCCAAAATTTCCATAGCCCATCCCAACAAGGCCTAGGCTTAGTAGACTATGTCTTGCCTCTACGTCTGAAGTCCAACCCGTTTTGAGGTAGGGATAACCGAGAGATCCCCCTACACTTGTACCCATCCCAGGCGCCAAAAGCCCTTGTCTTCAGTGCGTTAACGCCAAAAACCGCTGTTTTCGGTGTTCTGATCCATCACTTTCGAGAAGTTCTTCATCGATTGTAGACGCCTTGATGACCTTAATCCACTTTTCCCATTGTTCAGAGTGCTCTGAAATCGTTTACGCATTTTTGAGCTTAGCCACGCCTACCACGGCGCAGGTGCCGCCCACTACAGGTGTTCCTCCCTATTCCCATCCGCTGACCCCTTGCTGACCATAAATCCACTTTTCCCATCGAGCTATAATTTCTTAAACAAATCTAACTGTCATATTGAAGTGAAACACTGCGGTCGTTTCCAACCTTTTTTAGGGATCGACGATTCCCTCTGAAGATGCGTTTTTAGGTGATAAAACTCTAGATGGATATCAGAAGAAGAAATACGTTTGCAAATTGTTGTTCATATTTCTTCTGGGAAATGATATTGATTTTGGACACATGGAAGCAGTTAATCTTCTTTCATCCAATAAGTATACAGAAAAACAAATTGTGAGTTCCTTAGTGTTCTGTTTGTTATCGGCATCCAAGTGAGTTCCTTAGTGTTCTGTTTGTTATCGGCATCCTCATTTACTCCATGTAGCATTTCTAATACAATTCGGTATGAAAGATGAAGGCGTGAAAGGTAAATTAAACAGGAGGCTGACAAACTGGGGAAAGGCATTTAGAAGACTCCCTGTGCAGAAGAAATCGAGAGGGGGATAAAGCTGTTTTGTCATTATTTGCTTGTTTCTGTGGGTATCTTTTGAATTATTTAGTATACGTCTCTTCGGCTTTACACATACTCGAATGTTGAATACAGGGGTATACTAATGCTCCATCATATGGGTTCACTAACAAGGAAAGTTATCAGGTCGTGGCGCGCTTTTTAGAAATGGTTTGGTGCATGTTGTAGTGATCCATATGAGGATCACAAAATGGGTTTCGTTTTTGCTATGCATTCCTACGGGAGATCCAGAGCCATGTTGGCGCCAAGTGGCCTCGGTTGTGAAGGTCAGAACCGTGACAATGGCCATTGCTAACCCCTATATACAGAGTTTCAGCGAAATTTTTCTCCTCGAGCTGTTCGAGTTATGGTGGTAGGTCTTGTTGAACTGGTGGCTATCAGTATCCTGTAGAAGTCGTTATCCAACTTCGATACCTGGACCTTTCTATTTACTAGTATATACACTCATAATTAACAACTACAAATTTTAAAAAGGACAGATATATATGTATTGCACAATATCTACACCTGAAGAGGTAAAGTGGACCAGTTCCGCTGCGTGCGTTGATCGGGTGCCACTACCAACCAAGTGGTCGGTCCATTATCACCAAAACTCCAAAAAAATTTTCTGCTGAAAGTTCCTATAGAGGGGTAACTGATGGCCCCATTCACGATTCTGACACTTCTTTCAAGCGCCGAGGCCACTTCATGCCAGCATGGCGCTAAACAGCCGGGTTGTCAACGATTTCAGTGCAAGAAAGCTCCTGCAACAAATCGGCGACAAGTTGCGCCGTGGCCAAAAATGAGTGCTGTGCTCGTGAGTAGGGTATCGAGTAACCCCCGTAGCTCAACTTTTCCTTTCCTTAATAGTGTTTTGAGAGCGCAATCTTTAAATGGGGTCGACTCGTAAACCATTAGTGTAGGGTATGAGGTCTTGAATGGCATATATTCGTGTTCACACAGGAACACAGTGAGTTGGAAATCCGAAAAAATGCAGAAATTGGTCCCCAACCGGACCCGATCCACAAACTACCCGCCGTTCGAGAGCCCATCGCACTATCCACTCCACCATCCGTCTTCTTTTTGCCTTTATTTTGCTCTCTTTTGATGGTTAAGGAACATCTCATAACTATACATACTCAAATTTACAGTTAGAACAGAGCAAACTGTAACAGTAATCCCATTCTTGTCAAATTTCTTTTAACTCGACCAGGGAAGGTCGCCAACTTACCATGGAACTTTGAATGGAGACCTGGGTGGATCGATAGAGTCTATAAGGCTATTAACAAATATAGATAGCAAAACTGCAACCTGCATTCCACAAGCAACTTATGAGCAGGTAAAGTTTGTAATGGTGCAGTAGGGTGGAGGCTTGGTGGTGAGCTGTGAAGCATAAGCGTGGAATCGCATACGCCAAATCGAGTCATGCTGTGCCTGTGAAGCGAGTACCTTACCACTGAACCACCACGACTCGATTCGACGCATGCGCGATTCCTCGCTTATGCTTCGCAGCTCAGCACCACAAAGCTCCACCCTACTGCACCATTACAAACTTTACCTGCTCATAAGTTGCTTGTGAAATGCAGGTTGCAGTTTTGCTATCTATATTTGTTAATAGCCTTATAGACTCTATCGATCCACCCAGGTCTCCATTCAAAGTTCCATGGTAAGTTGGCGACCTTCCCTGGTTAGTTCTTGACCTCCCCAGAAGCGCATAGCAAAAACGAAACCCATTTTTGTGATCCTTATATGGACCCCTACAACATGCAACGAACCATTTCTGAAAAGCGCGCCACGACTTGAATGACTCCCTTGCTTGTAAGGGCAGTTTGTCGTCTGTAAGAGATTTATAAGTACAAAAATACGTCTTCTTCACCTCACTCTGGTGAAGAACTCTCTATTCATCGCAGTCATTACATTAAACTTAGTCAAACATGGTAAATGTCCATGTTGTTAAGTGAAGAGACCGGTTTTAAAGAATTGCATAGCTTACCTCATGCGTGCATATTATAAATACTCATGTGAAATAACTCATGAATGTCATTTTAGGGATATTTGTTCATCTCAGTGCTGATTGAGCAGAATTCGGATCTAATGAAGTTGATCGTACAAGCGATTCGTAACGATCTGACTTCTCGCAATCCCATCCATGTCAATCTCGCTCTGCAGTGCATCTCAAATATCGGTAGTCGCGATATGGCTGAAGCGTTCTCAAACGATCTTCCAAAATTACTTGTTTCCGGGTAGGTTTAAATTTCA